GTCTTACTAGGTAACAAGCGAGACCATGAGATTGAAAATCTGTAAAAATCCCAACCCATATCCTTGAGAATCCCAACATCTTCCTGCAACATGTCGAAAGGACTTGTTATTTTTCTTGCCCTCAAATTCTTATAATTAATCTTCTTTGCTAAATTCTTCAAAAAGAATTAAAGGTAAAAAAAAGTGTGACATATACCTTAATGCGATGATATGAATCAACAGCCACATCTCCATTGCTGCGGTCCGTTATTTTATCTGAATTGTTTTATTTGTCCATAAAATATGTAAGTATCTTATAAACCGATTCGGAGCAAACCTTTTTTATCAAAACAATTTAGCTTTTGAGCTTTGCTCTGTAGAACATTTAAATAAAACAAAAAACCTAATTGCAGAATACACTCCTGAAACTTGGAGTCACTTTAAAAAAAGATGATTTAAAAAAAATCACATAAAATTTTACTTTTAACTAGATATTTGGTAGAAATAAGTGCTAGTTCTATTTTTGGTTATCACTATGTTAATTTTGTATGGAAGAAGATGGGTATGAGAATTAAAATAATTCAAATACCTGGATATTTGTGAGTGAATGTATCCCAAACAGATGGTCCTCTACCCCCTTCCTTTGCAGCACCTTCAAACTAATAAAATTCCCATAACACACAATAAATTAAACCCATCAACCTAATTAGAAATAATTAACCTTGAAAGAAAATATGTATATAGAGATGCGTTACGGACCTGGTAAGCTGCTCCGGCAGCCCCGAACATGAAATCGGGCGGAAAACTGGTCCGGTTGAAGTTCTGATAAGCATCAGATGAAGCATAAGGTTTAGGAGGCTCTGGCTTGGCACTAATTGTGACTGTACAGCCAAGAACGAGCAGGAGGATGAAACCTAACTTAATCATCATGTTTTGATGGTGATTTTTTTATTTGAATTCTAGGGTTAGCTATTGCCCTTTATATATACACATAATTTGTAGTGGACAAGAATCGTGATAGGATATCGAAAGACTTAATTTAGACATATGTATGTATTTATGTAATGATGCCAGTTTTAGGATTTGTTTTAATTTGACTCCAATAAGAGCGGTCATTCCGTTGCATACGGAATGATTTGTTTTACTTTTGACCATGTTCAACCTAGAAACATCACATATGGTTAACGAACTGTTAGGGAAACCTAACAAATTAACGATTCAAAACATTGTAATATTGGATAGAACAGGATAAATGGAAGTGTTTGATTTTGCTAGTGACATGTCTGTTTCTTTTTTTGTCTTGTTTTGATTCAGATGCCTAGTTTTTGAAATTTTAAGATTAAATATTTAATATACCTTTTAATTCTTAGATAATATATCAAAAATCCTAAAACCCTGTAGATAAATATTGTAGTATTCAATTTCAATAAAAAAAATAAAAAAAAAAAGTCTTCCAAATTATACATGAAACGTGATATATGCACTTCCTTCTATATTTGCTAGTGATCTAGTGGTTTTTCAATTTTTTTTCGAAAACAGTATGATATTCATTGATAAGGTAATGGAATACGTACAATTGAGGATAAGGTGCATACAATCAGCCTCGATAAAAACAATATCGGGGATTTCAACCCAATCTACACTACTACGTTTAACTAATTACGCGACGAACAAAAGTTGGTTGCGCAAAGTGTCATTCCGTTGCACAAACGTCTACGTGAAGAAAGACTTTGCCCGACAAACAATAGCATTGGTGCAAAAACGTGGCGCGACAGTTTAGCCTTTGTCGCATAAAATACCAGGATATAAACATGGGACGACTAATATTTGTCTCTCAAAACTTTGCGCAAAGAAACCTTGTTAGTCACTAGAATTTTGCAAGACGAAGGTTTTCGTAGCGCAAAAATAAATTTTTTTTTTTATTTAATTTTTTGTTCTAGTTTTTTAATTTTATAATAAAATTAAATTGCAATTAAAAAAATGTAATGAAGAGAAAAATAATTTATTTAAATAAATATAAATGTATGTACAAGGAAAATGTTTAAAAACTATGGGGTCGTCATTCTAAGATGGCTGGAAGGTCTCGAGGTTGAGGCGGGCTCAGAGGTCAAAGGGGCAGAGTTGTGGGCATGTTTGGGTTGGAGGGGCTTGGATGTCGATAGCGGACGAAGATTCGGGAAATGAATGCAGGACTGATTGAGGGCCTATACAATCTGTGACATCTGACTCTTATACGAGGCAAGCTCAGTCCTAAGGTTGACCACCTCTGCTGTTAAAGCTGTCGTTTGACTCCTTGACTACGATGATGAATACGCTCTAAGTTCTTGCTGCAGGGCATTCCCCATCTCCCTACAATACGTCCCCGGCCTCCGCCTGAGAGTCTGATCCAAGGTCTCTGTAAGGATCTGAAACCCGCATCCTTTGGGGGATCCACAAACTCGAGCGAAGTCTCGGAAGGAAGCTGGGAGGCAGGCTCTTCTCCATCATCATCGCCTATGTAATATAACATGAAAATATTAATAATAAAATTCAAATAATAACCATGGTACTTGAATGCGTAAGATAGTAATTACAATTGAAGAATACCTACATGAAGTGACTCGGCCAACTCATCCCCGGGTCGAACATAAACATCGCTGAAGACATCGATCTCCGGGAATTTTGAACCCCCTGAATAGAACAAGATATGAAAACTGTTAGTACGAAAGAAAAAAATATTATTGACATATTAAAAATTGAATATGAAAAACTTTATAATTACCTGCCGTTGTGCCTCCATCTATATGAGAAGGGCCTTAAACCGGAATGGTGAAGAAGAGTCTTCTTCTCCTGAATGCTTTTGTTGGCTTTCACATTTTTCTGTTATATAAAAAACAGACATATTAGTACTAATTTAAATGAAATATAAAAAATGTACTGCATAGCTGGGCTTTTGAAAATAACTGCAAAGCCACACCTTATTATCTTCTCGGTCCTTAAACTCCTTCGGGCAACCCTCCTCAACAGCGACCTGCAGATCATCAAATGTCTCAAAATATTGATGCAGGTCGCTCTACCACTGACACACCCCGATCCCGATATTCGCCAAACACCAAGGTAGGTACATGCTAGCCGACACCCGAAAGTGACGCAAACCATTTAGAATTCATGAGAACAAGAATTAAATAGGACTTATTAATTTAATTATGATTAATATGCAATTGAGAAACGTGTTCAGAGCATACAACTAACTAGAACACAAAAAGAAATAATATAAAATTGAATGAATAAAAGAATGGTACGCCTCGATTCTAAGTCCTAAAGGGTGCAAAACAAACATGAGTGGACCAAGTTGATATATATATATATATATATGCACACACTAAAACAGTTATCTACATATTAACCCCCAGAGTTTTATGAAAACTAATAGCATAATATGAAATAAGTTTATCTGAAAACGCTAGTATGCCATAAAAAATCTCATAAAGCATATCTCGTGTATAGTGTGCTAAATAGTGGTATCCAAATATAATATCTCCCAACCCAATACCAGCACCATGTCTCTCGACTTGAAGCCAAAGATTATTTTCTCCTGGCCCATTGCCAGCTCCATGTCCTTCGGCCTGAAGCCAGGGATTATTTCTCTTGGCCCGCAGCCAACACCAGATCCTCTCCCTAGGCGGAACAGTGATCACTAGATACGCACAAAAAATTGAACATAATCTTTCCAAGTATAGATACATATATCTCAAAATCATCTTCATAGTATAAAGTCATACATCATCTGTACTATAAAGAAGTGTGTAAAAGCATGTTCTAAATAGTATATCGTCATCCATTATACACCCTACAAGAACATGGGTTCAATAGAAAATATGGTATTTTGAAATATTCTAAGTAAGCATAATATCTCATAAAACGTAATCATTAAATTATGATTTTTCATGTATGCATTGCTACTATTAAAAGATGCATTTTAGAAGGGGTCCACTCAAAGATACTTCGCCGCCGAATTTTTGGGGAAAATACATAAACATAAACACGGAAGCTAATCGCAAAACATCATAAACCCAGAAATACAAGCAAAGTTGCAGAACACGAGAAAGAAAGAACACCTAGAGAGTGGAATTGGTGCATATCTTGCTGTAAATGCGGCGGTGCATGGTGCTTGGTCTTTCTTTTCACAGAGTTGCCGAACAAAAGAAAGAAAGAGCACCTCGAGAGTGGAATTGGCACACATCTTGCTATAAATGACTACGGTATGTGGTTTTTGCATAATGACAGCGATGGAGTTGCGTTGCGAGATTAGAAAGAAAAATGAAATGTTTAGAATGTCAGGAATAAAGGGAGAGACAGAATGGCAGAGAGATCCATAAATGAAGAGATATTCAACGGACAAAGACTTGCCGTCAAGGGCAAAATCGTAAACTCAATGTTTGGGCCATTTTAATTGAACTGGTTTAGTGTTGGATATGTCGTAACCATTAAATAAAGTTATTATAGCTTTTGGTTAACATTCAAAGTTTTCAAACATTTTTCATTAATTTTCCTTTATATCTATAACTAGTGTATGTCACTTAGTACTACGGTCCAGTGATATTCTCTTCTCTTGTAAACAAGAGTTTCAGGTTCGATTCTCGCCAAAGACAAATTTGAACCATATTATGACTAGCCCATTGTGAGCTAAGCCGAACCCTCCCCTTAGTGTAGATAATATCATTTGTTCAAAAAAAAAAAAAAAAAAACTAGTGTGTGTGTTATATATATTTACATAAAGTACAATGGGCAACGACTTTTGCAAGTTCTTGCCTATTATATTTACACAATAACATGCCATTTTATTCTATTCAATAACTAGACAACAACTTTTCCTCTTCATATCATCAGGAAGAGTGACTTGCACAAGTTGTTGTTTATACGTAATCGTCGACAAATATTAAAATAAAATTTTAAAGAAAAAACAATGTGCTAATAACGTATTATGAAAATAGACACAAGAAAAAAAAAGGTTGAGATGAAGAGAGAAACTAGGAGAATGGAGAGATTATATTATGACATGAGTAGAGTAGAAGGTATTAAACCTTAATTACTCGTAAATAAAATAATAATAATAATAATAAATCCTAATCAACTAATTATCATATCCCTAATCACTAATTTGAGTGAGGCATCCTCCGTATTTACCGTTTACAATCAAGGGAGCTTCTTTTCCCCGTGTAAAAAACTTATTCATTATTATAAGAATGACAATATATATGAAACTCATTATCCACATAGCAATTAAAGGATGTCGCCCTTTGAGGATTTAGGTTTGTGGCCCTTTGAGGATTTAGGTTTTGAACCCGAGTTTTTGATGCTGCCCCTTGGGGAATTATGTTTAGAACCCGAGTGGGAATTACCTTTAAGAAGATTCTTCCACCAACGAGCTGAGAGTTTGTAATGTCTTTTTTGTCCATTTTTAAAATCCACATATATGATACCAAATCTCACAGTGTAACCGTTAGCCCATTCAAAATTGTCAAGCAAAGCCCACGCAAAGAACCCCTTCACATTAACGCCCTTCCTGCTCAATCAAATGTTAGATACAATCATGTTCGTCCAAGAAATGAGAACAAATCAAATCTTTTCTTTTGTTAAATCACTTACCTAATGGCTTCTTGAACATAATAAAGATGCTCATCGTAATATTTAATTCTTTGATTGTCGAGGAGAGCCTCCTCGAGTGATAATTTAGGATCATTTGCCTCGTCAACTCCTGCAAAATAATAATAATAATTGTGATGTTTATTTAGTTTCATGCGGAAATATAAATGGCAATACGTGTACGTATGCATATATGATTTGACATTAATTACCATTTTCTGTGATGTAAATAACTGGATTTTTATACTTTCTCTTTGTGTAAGTTAATAGATCTAGAAGTCCTCGTGGATAAATATAAAGCCAATCTGAAGCAGCCTGAAACCAAGCATGTAAAGTTGTGTGAGCTACAACATAATATGAGGTAAGAGGGTTTAAAAGTTTAATATGTATGAACTTGTTGTATATATAGGAGACGTACCATTGGACCAATGGGGACTCCGTTGCGGTTGTCTGCCACAATAATATTCATTTTTCAAAGTCTTGTTAGTGGTGCTTCAATTAAAAAAATTATATATCGGAAGCTAAAAATTTTACCTAAATTTACTCACTTAATGATTCGACCTGGGCGTCGGTTGACTGGCTTGGCTGTGCAGCCTTAACAGGAACATCTTTTGCATAAGACGATGAGTAGTAATTCAACCCAATAAAATCACACGAACCCTTTAGCATATTGGATTGCTCTTTGGTGAACTTGGGCAATCGACTTCCAATTAGGGTTTGCATAATCTTTGGATATCGACCCTTTGTCACTGGATTCATATACCTATAATTAAATCGAAATTTTCAAATATATATTAAGCAAGTTTAAATAAAATAAAATAAAAAAGTGAATTGTAAATCAAGTGGTCTAATAGTTTAATTGGTTTAGTGATCTAATTATTTAGAAGAGCGTATGTACCATCCATATGAAAAATCAAGTGCTCTAATTGCAGCTGCTTTATCTTCCGTTGAATTAGAAAATGGAACAGACCAACCTGAGTTAACTGTTATTCCGATCACACCCTTTTGTGAAGCCTGTGCATGCATGCATATTCAATATTAATATTTGATTATATGTAATATGTACTTGTGTGTGTGTACATATATGTATATATATTTAAAACTTACCTGGTACTTTTCTCTATACACTTTTACAGCGGCTGCATGAGCTATAAGTTGGTGATGCGCGGCCAAATATGGCTCCGTTGCCGAGTTTCCACCCTCTTTGCATTTTGTATGGTTAGAGCATCGGCCTGGAGCAAATGCTCCAACTGAATAACCTTGGACGCTATAAGTTTGAGGCTCATTTAACGTGATCCAGTGCTTAACTTTGTCACCAAATTCTTTAAAGCAAAGTTCTGCAAAGTCCACAAAATGACTCCTATATATGAAATAAAATGTTTAATTAAATTTTGAACTCTAAATTAAGCATTTCACGAGTTTATAAGTGCTGATCAGGAAGTTATTATTTCACTTACACACTGGTAGGGCTTAAGAAGCCAAGATACTCATCCTCCAAAGCCTGGGGAAAATCCCAATGAAAGAGTGTCACAAAGGGTTTTATACCTGCAATATTTAAAAATTAATACATTACAGAAATGAAAAATGAACAGTAATTAGTATTATCTTTTTCTTTTTGGGTAAAATTAGTCGCAAAGGAGTCATGGGGATAACCATTGGCTTGAAGCTCATTGAGGAGGTTTTGGTAATATTTTAGTCCTTCCTTGTTCACTCCCCCACTTAGCTTACCATCTGATCAAAAAGTTTTGGGGAGAAAGAAAAACAATGTAATTGCATTATTAAAAGCGTAATAATCATCATATTTATAGTATATAATTTTAAAACAATAGTCAAATAGAGATTTTTAATATCTCATATTGATTGTCTTACTAGGTAACAAGCGAGACCATGAGATAGAAAATCTGTAAAAATCCCAACCCATATCCTTGAGAATCCCAACATCTTCCTGTGACATTTCAAAAGAACCTTGTTATTTTTCTTTTACTCAAATACTTATAAGGGTTATTTTGGTTCCGGTCCCTAATCAACCTAATTGTTAGATTGAAACCTTATTTGTTTAAATATTTTGATCGAGGTCCTTAGCCTCATTTAAGAGATTTAACTCATGCATTCATTTAATGTCCCCCAAATTATGAAATTTAAACAAATTCAAATAATATTTTTAATTATAATAAATACTTAAAAATCAATTTTAGAGTAATATTGTTCTTCACAAAAATTATAGCAAAAAAAAAAATAATAATAATAATGTACCCACATAATTATTAACATATTTAAAAAAAAATAAATATTGATATATTTTAAAACATAAAATAAATACATATAATTAGCATGGGTACATTTAGCAAAATTAAAATTGAGTACAAATAAATTAAAAAATATGGGTACAAATACAAATAAGAGTTCAAAAAATATGGGTACAAAAAGGAATTAATATATGGGTACAAATTAAAACTGAAAAGAAAATTGGTACAAATTTAAAAAAAAAAATTGCAAATTAAAAATGGCTACAAACTAAAAATAAAAATATATGATAAAAAATTTAGCCATAGATGTAAAAATAACAAATGTAACGTTTCTAATACTAAATGAATATATTTAGAAATAAAAAAAATATTTTATCATTGAAATAATTAATGATGTTTATTAAAATCTAAGAAAGTTGATCAAAAATTGAAAAGTAATAAGATTTTAATCAATGAAGTAGGAAAAATAGAGATGGAAACCTAATTTTTCCTTCTTATAAATTAATAATCTTCAATGCTACATTCTTTAAAAAGAATTAAAGGTAAAAAGAAGTGTGACTTTAGATATACCTTATATCGATGATATGAATCAGCAGCCACGTCTCCATTGCTGCGGTCCGTTATCTTATCTGAATTATTTTATTTATCCATAAAAAATGTAAGTATCTTATAAACTAATTGGGAGCACTGCTGCCATAGTCACTCACCTATCTTATTTTCCCACTCATCTGAAGTTGATTTGTCATTCATGTTTTAGTTCTTATTGGCAACCTTTAGATTTTGAGCGAATAAATCTAATTTGTTTAGTAAAACATTAAAAATAAAAAATAAAAAAATAAAAAACCTAATTGCTAAATACACTCCTGTAGGTTGGAGTCACATAAAAAAAGTTGATTTTAAAAAAATCACCTAAAATTTTACATTAACTAGATATTTGGTAGAAATTAATGCAAGTTCTGTCGTTTATTTTCGCTACCTTAAAGTTGTACGGAAGAAGAAGGGTACAAAAAGTAAAATAATTAAGATACCTGGATATTTGTGAGTGAATGTATCCCAAACACATGGTCCTCTACCCCCTTCTTTTGCAGCACCTTCAAACTAATAAAATTCCCAAACACACAACAAATTAAACCCATCATTCTAATGAGAATTAATTAACCTTGAAAGAAAATACGTACATATATAGGTGATGAGTTACGTACCTGAAAAGCCGCTCCGGCAGATCCGAATATGAAACCAGGGGGAAAACTACTCCGGTTGAAGATGTGATGAACGTCACTTGAAGCATAATCTTTATGCTTTGGCTTTGGCTTGACAGTTGCGACTGCATAGCCAAGAACAATGAGGAGGATGAAACCTAACTTAATCATTTGATGGTGATTTTTTTTTTTTTTTTTTTAATTTGAATTCTAGGGTTGGCTATTAGCCCTTTATATCTACAGATAATTTTCTAGGGGAAAAGAATGGTGATCAGATTGAACGACTAAATTTAGACATACGTATCTATGTTTGTAATGATGCCAGTTTTAGGAATGTGTTTATCACCCTCCATTCCATGTTTAATCCGTGTATAAATTTGGCTCCAGTAAGAAGCGGTCAATGCGTACGGAAAGATTGTTCTACTGTTGACGATGTTCAAACTTCCACCGAGAATCAAATAAAAACTACGGATATAGTTAACAAACTATTGGGAAAACGTAACATATTAACGATTTAAAACATTTTAACATTGGATAAAACAGGATAAAATGGATAAAAGGCAAAAAGAGTGAAGCTTTTATAATACCTAAACTGCCCTTCGTCTATTAGTGTTTGAAAATAAAAACAAAAATAATTCATATAGATATAGTGTGATATGGAAATTCTGTTGTAGGCCCTATTTAAATGGAGAATTATGGAGAGATTGAGAGAGAGGGCGGCAAGCATAGAGAGAATTGAGTGTATTCGAGGTGCGATTTCTCACTTCATTATATCTTTATTTATAGTAGTAGGAAAAGTAAATTTCTTATCTAATACAATCAGACAACTATCTAAAAGATATGGTAAAATCTCATAAGAGTTTATTAGGATTTACACAATAGAAACTTTATTTTAATCCTTAAAAAAGTTGAGTACTAGACTATAATATGTGTAAGATCAAAATCCAATTGCCTTACGTGCACTACAAGAAAAATGAGCTATGGGTACAAAATAAAGGACACCATTGAGAATTTTGTGCTTGTTTGACCATCAAAAGACTGAAACAGTTCCCATTTCATAGAGGGCACCATTGATTGTGCCTATTGTAAAACAAAATAGGCACAAATACATTTTCTGACAGCTTTATTGAAAAAAATGGACTCTAATATATTATTTGTGCCCATAATTAATTATATATACTAAAACCCAGTTGATGAGCACTGTTCAGCAATATTGATTTGACCGAAATGCCCCTCTTTTGATCACCATGGCCCGTTGTTTTTTGTGTTCAATACAGTGAAATTACGTGTTTACCCCCGTTGTCCACCTGTCGATCATCGTGAAGGTTAGCTGAATTGGGTCTGCTTCGAAACAAACTCCACTTTTGCTTCCATTTCGTCTTCTCTCTCAGAAACATTACCCTCTCTCTCTCTCTCTCTCCCCCCTTCCCTCTCTTGCTGCGTTGCGATCCTCACACCACAATCTCATCCTTACAGATTCGTCCTCTTCGTCTCGATCCCGAACTGTAAGTCTCCTCTCTCTGCTCGCTCTTTCGCTCTCTTCTCTAACCCTAATTTCCTCCCTCCGATCATCATTCCGTTCAATCTCCCAGATCCCTAATTGTTTTTATCATTTATATAAAAATGGATTAAATTTTCGATTTTTCTTTTCAAATTAGTTTGTTTGGTTGATTCGTCCGTGGCTATAGCTGTCTGATTGATGTCCATTTGCATCGTTCCTTCTGTTGCATGTCAACGATTCCGATTAGGTGTTTAATTGTGTATTTATCTGTAATTTGATGATTATTGTGTGTGTGTTTGTATTAATGTTTTTCAAATTTTGTGTTTTTTTTTTTTTTTTGTTGTAATTGGTACTGGATTTTGATCTGCTTTGCTTTGGATTCCGATCTGATTTGAGTTTTGGGGACTGATTTGAATTTTGAGTTTGTTAATGTAAAAATGGCGCCTCAAAGATTATTTTGGTCTTTCGTGCATACTGATTTTTTATTTCTATTAATTTTGGTTGTGTGATTAGTGATTTTTGTTCTTAATTTTACTAAAAATTTTGAGTTTTTCTTTTTGTTGTTTCTATGGTTTTTTGTTCTGCATATTTCAATTACTCTCTCTCTTGCAGCGGAACCACCGCGACCACTAGGGGCCACTGCCGCGTGAAATTATGGGCTTCAATCGTTTTCTAAAACCTTTTGTACTCATGGTAAGTTATTCTAGGTTTTATTCCATATTCAGATCATCCCCAATTTCGAAAGTTTAGGATATTGGTTTGTTTCCGTGTTGCATGTTTAACATTCTTGTGTGTGATGCTGAGTTGAGGCTTTACGAACTGGAATCGTTGAGGGTAGGCTTGAATTTGGCCAAATTTTGGTAAGAACCGTTAAAATCTAATCCTAATTTTCTATAAAATTCCCTGTATATTTATTATTTGTTTCCAACAGTAGGTAATCAGGAGTTTTATTTGGCCAAATTCAGAGCCGAAGAGTTTTTCAACATTAAGATTTAGATACCCGAGGTTGGTTGAAGGATTTTGCCTCTGAACTCAATTCAGGTACACAAATCTGAAAGCTTATTGAGAATTGTTGTAATTTGCTTTTCGTTGTAGCGTTACTTTCTTAAACTGATTAGAGCTAAAGATTGCTAATTCCATAGCATTCAGTGCATATGCTTATTAATGTCTGTTTGTTATATTAGAGGCATATGGTGATTTAGTTGCACCCTGCACATGTGCAGCTGAAGGCTGACCCCAAATTGTTCCCCCTGAAATGATGTTGTGCTTATTTGTAAATTTTGTTGCTCATCTGCAATTCACCTTTTGTCTCTTGATATCTTTTACAGGTGCAAAACACCATAGAGTATTTAAACATCATCGGGGCCTTGGATGAGAATGAGAATCTGACTGTTTTCGGTGGGGAGAGATTTATTATTCTTTTAATATTTCAATTATGCATTGGGATGCTTGCAACTCTTTGTAATGGTTGAGTGTTTAAATTTGAAAATCATTAGCCTAATGCAGTTTTAATCACTTGACAGTTTAAATGCAGGTTGTTATATAGAGCTTAGGATTTAGGTTTTCCAGTTCAATCAAAGCTAATTGGACAGAATCATGAATTAATTAAATGTGGTGTCTTCCTTTTTCCCTCTGTTTCTTTTGTTGTTGGGTGAAAGTGAGCATGGGTTTATGATAACCTATTTAAAAGGAAAGCTGGAGAGAGAGAGAGAGGGTACTAAAGTAGGTGCATATAGGGAGTCAAGGCATACTGATAGAGAAAAATGCACAGATTGGAATGGTAAAAATGAAAAAAAATGAAAAGAAAGTGAACCCAATAGAATATAGAAAATGAAGTGTTCATCCAGTGGAATAACCCATATGTGGTGTTATTTTTTATCGTTCATTTGTGTTCTATTGGGATTGTATTTTGCTAGAATTTCATAGAATTTGATTTCTTGAGGGCTTTGTTGCAAGTTTTTAGTTGTAGTTAAGTGTTTAGGTTGCTCTTAGGAGAGACCGAACAGTGAGGAAACATACAGTCTTAAGAAACTAAACAGCTCCATGAATCTTATCTTTCCGTATGGAAACATGGAAGACTTCACTAAAGCTAAAAATTAGATTTGAAAATACTTATTTATTAGCTTGTGCGTTGTAGAGCCTATAAGGTTCTTAGCAGTTTCTATCTTTCTTAGAAATTAATGTCATAACAATGATTGTCTAAACTTTTATTGTTTTGTACATCTTGTTTGCTGGTAATGATGGTTTAGCTGCTTAATTTAGTTGCATATTTTGTTCACTGTAATTTGGTATAACAAAGTAGCAATGCATCACTGCTATTGAGTTCTTAATGCCGATTGAAAGTTTTGGTCCTTGAACATGACTGGAAATAGGTCCTTTCTTTGTTTATTTTTTTAATTTCATTTTCACTTTCATTTGGATTTCAGGAGGATGATTGCACCATCCACCAAGTTGGAAAAGGAGGTGAATCTTTGATATGGCAGATCTGGAACTTTTACGTATTGATTTTAACCAACTCCTTTTTAGGTGTAATTTTGGACTTATTTTGTTTTGAAGTCGACTATATTTGTTTTAGCTTCTGATGAGGTGCAAGGCTTGCTAGGGAAGATGCATTTGTCCAAAAATGTCTGCTTTCAAGTTCTTTTTGCATTAGAGATGAAATATGTAACATTACAATATATGTTTCTGAGATTGAGAATGTGTTGTAGGCTTTCTACATTTTATGAAAATTAAAAAAAATAATAATAATTACCTCAATTCAGTTTCAGTTTTTTCAATTTTGATTTTTTTTTAATATTTAATTCTTGTTGGCACAATTATAATATAAGTGTCAATATGGCTGGAAAAGGTCTTTTGATAAAGTTGTCAGAAACAGGCACAAATAATGGTCCATTTGTGTCTGCCTCTTTGAGCACCAAACAGTGAATTGTGCCATTTTAGCAATGGTGACGCCCATAGAGGGCACAGATACAAACTTAGTAGCTGCACTGTTGCTATTGGTCTATGGGCACATGTCTTGGTGCTCTTTGGCCTCAAAGGGCACATATAATTTATTGTGCGCAGTGCCCATATTTTTTGTAGTGGTGATACATTTAATTATCTCATTTATTAATTATATTTTGATGTTTTATTTCTCATTTTCTTCCTATTCTTAATATATTAATTAGGTTTAAATTTAATTTTCATTTTATTCAACTTAATATGTTTTGATGCCTACATTTAGGTAAACTAGTTTTTTTTATATAAATATATTCCGACACAATTTGTATATTCTTTAGGTACATTAATTTTTTGATACAATTTGTATGTTCTTCATTTTGGTACATTAATTTTTTTTTTTTTTAATGTATCTGGGCATATTCTTCGATACAAATATATAAGTACATTAATTTAATATAATACATTTCAGTATTGACATTTAAGTATATTAATTCAATATAATATATTTCGGTACATACATTCCGATATTGACATGTAAGTACATTAATTCAATATAATACATTAATGATCACCTCACACTAATTCAGAACATTAATCCAAGACAGGCCAATCATATGATGATTGTATACAAAAACCCTAAAACAAAAATCGAAATTGCGAGACAGAAAGAATAGTTCCTCCAGTTGTGATTTAGTAAGTGAAAATGAGGAGTGTATTTGCCAAGAAATGGGGAAGGCCTGCACTAGCTCATTGCAGCTACTGCCATGGCTGACGCCCGCGCACTTTCTTCTCTCCTCTCTCTCTCAAGTTCTGATAGCCGAGGAGCAACCGTCTTTCATGCGAATCACGCCACGTTGCAAAACAATTCTCTCTAATATCAAACCATGCCAAAAAAAAAAAAAAATTAGAATCCATCTTTGCTCACAGTTACCGTTAAATGCCGATTTCGAAATTCAAGCTAATTTAATGGTAATCAAGTTAGGTGAGTTTTTCTTAGTGGTATTTACTTGTAAGATGTCTTGGATTCGATTTTTATTAAAATTAAATTTAAACTACATTATTGATAGTTCATTGAAGATTTAGGCCACTCCGTCATCCCTTTAGTATAAATAATATTGTTTGTTAAAAAAAAAAAAAGCAAGATGAGTATCACCCAACAAATTTTTTTTGTTAATTCTTACTTAGGTTCGATCAGTGTTCTAAAAAGCGACCTCAGCCGTCACGATTAGGTTCAAATTGGATGAAAAATCGGCAAAGGAAATAGGCGGAGCTTAGGCGGCTGCCTGGATGGTCTAGGCGGTCCAAGGTGAAGCCTAGGCGGCTCTCGATGTGATGTGAATCTCGACTACAATAAGATAGCCATATTTGCAGACCTTGTTGTTGGTGTTAGTTGCAAAGTTCAAAGCCTGCAAACTCCCCTCGTGAAGAAGAAGAAATTAAAAAGTTAAGAGTAATGGAGATGTCAAAAGATAAATGTCAAATATTGATTTGATGGCTGACATAGCAATGTTAGATTTTCTCTTTTTCCAATCAATATGTTTTTTTTGTTATAAATGATATTTGTTAGACCAATTTTAAAAAGAAATCAATTAAAATAAATTTTCAAGATCTATAATGAGTGCATTAATGGAATACACATAATAAAATAATTAAAAATTATTTGACCTCACCTTTTTTTAGAGTTTCACCAAAGTAGATGTCAAAACTGCAACATAGGCATACAACAGTAAAAAATGGCAGCAAATTCTCTCCAACCGAGCCTTCAATTTCTTATGTGGCGCTGAGTCATTTGAAGGTAAGGTCTTTTGCTGTCAAATTTGACAGCACATGTCAAATTTATTAAATGATTTTTAATAGACTAATGTAATATATAATAAATGTTGTTATGTTTTTTTAATATTTGATTGGTTGCCTTAATCATTGGACTCTACAAAAAGATAACTTTTTTATTAAATGGCATTCATTATTTAAACATATCAGGTGGAACAAAGCAAAATGTCAAATTGCCACATAAGTTATCAAACATCATTTTGATGTTTAAAATTGGGCATCTCCTTTGGAGATGCTTTCATATATCAAATTTGACATATGAAAATTCATATGTCAATTCACATAGGATTGATATATCGGTTGGAGTTTACTCTTGCCTTTAAATTTGATTACATGACTTTTCATTTAGGATTTGACATCTCCTTTAGAGATGGTCTTAAAATCTAATTTTTTCACTTAGCTGCATGACACTATTTAAAGGATTTTCTTTGAGTTTTGTTTACACTTTACACGTGGCAGTCGTTACTGCCATTCGATTCGTTGTTCCCCCCAAAAAAATGGAAAGAGATCCTCTTCGGATTTCTTCCTCCAAAACCCACGGATCAAGTGATCTAGACCCTTAAAATTTAATCCAACGGCTAAAAACATAGAAGTTAGTAAAAACTTTTAAAAGTTATAATAATTTTTTGCCGTTATATCAAATTTCAAGGGTCCGAATTACTTTGATCCATGGAATTTAGAGGAAGAGATCCAGAGAGAATCTCTTTCCCAAAAAATTCTCATTGAATCCTAATCTTACATTAATTCAAATACCTTTCACCACACCGTTTATATTAATGTATTTTATAATTATATATATTTTTTTTAATTTTGATGGTACACACTATCATATAAATACACACGCCAAATTCTTTTGTTTTATCATAAATATTATGTTATCTATATATATATAAAAGGAGAAGGCCAATTTGGTGAAGTATTCAAAAATGTCAAGAAAACCCCTTTGTTTTCTTCACAATTGAAATCCGAAAAAAGGAAAAAAATGAGGACAAACTGGTAAAAAAAATAACTGAATAAAAAAATTGTACTTCAAGAAAAAAAATCAAAGTAAAAAGTAAATACATGTTGAAAAAGATGTACAAAGAATAAACACGAACCAGTTGACAATTTTCTTTTCTCTGTAGGATCCCCACGATCTGGACTGAGTTTAGTGGGAGGTTCAACAGTAACTACCCATGCCCCACTAATATTTAGAGATGAATAATTGGAAGGAAATCAATTTTCGTTTTCAGCATATTAGTGTATGGTTTCTATTCGTCCCAAACATAAAAGGATTGAAAAAAACAGTTACAGATGTCGTTCTTTGTTTTTACCGTTCTGGGTTTTATGCTCTGCATGCAAGGGGCTATTCAAAATCAGGTACACCATTTTTTGAATTATGTATTAATTTTGTTTGTTGCATGGATTTCAAATGGAATTTTGATTCAGACAAATTAGATCAGAGAAAAAAATTTCCACAGTTGAACCTGAGCCCGTACCCGAATATTGAGCAGTACAGTTCCCGATTTCTTAAGGTTTTGGATATCCACACAACACACAATCTATCGGCATCAATCTAGAAATGCCCACGACCATGTGAGTTGCGATTGTTCTTCTTAAAGTTTTATATATACAAATTTGAAGTTTAACTTCAAATTTATTCACTATATACTATAATTCTTCAGTGATTAGAGATTCTAAAATTTTAGAACATGGGGATTTTTAAATCCTCTCAATCAAAAAAGGATTGAAAAGTATTTTTGATTCAGACAAGTTATAGCATGTTTATCATCTTAATATTATAATAAGAGGCTCAATAGGTTACCACATGATTTTCTAAGGCTTTTCCTCAACTGGGTTCTTTGCTTTCTTTCTTTCGTTTCAAGATTCGATTGAATTGGTTAAAAAACAATGCAGGTACTCAAGGTTTTGTTCAGAATCATTGTTGAGTTTCTGAACTTTCATCTATGGTTTCTGATTAATTTCTCAATTGGGATTATTTCTTACCAATTTCCTTTGAGATTCGTGCGTTTGTTTGTTAAGGCTCTATTTCTTCGTTTTTATATGAAATGAAACTGCTCTCTTCCTTTTCTTGACACCCACGTTGATAGCATTTATCTTCAAGAGTTAAAGGTGAGGTCTCATCTACATTCAGTTGCTCATCAATAATTTGTTTGCTATCCCTTTTGTAAATTTTTATTTCAATGGATTTTGATTTTTTTTTTTTTACATAAGAACGTGAACATTATTAAGGTATCTTATCTATGAATATTTATTCTATATGTATCCTCATAAACTTAGTTTATCTTTATCGCTTTCCTCACTACATTAGGGGAGCCTCATGATCCTTATTATCATTAAAAACATATGTGTGATACATTTATCATTAAGACTTAGATCTTATCCAACAATTCTACATTCAAATTCTAGCCAATAACTGGAATCCCCAATCTAACCAACTCAACATACATGTCTACAAAAATAGAACAAATTATAGTTTTAATCAACTCATCTTTAGCAGATTTTGGTAAAATAAAGTGTTCAAAGAGAATCAAATATGTAGTGAATTGTATTTTGTACTATTGTAAGGATAAGATGATATTTATGCCTCCGTTTTTTTCAACAAGAAACTAAGATTGTATGATGCAGTTGAAGATGGCAACATAAATGCAACACAAAGAAGAGAGACAAATAAAGAATAGAGGGTAAATACATTAGCTCCCTTATGTTCTGTTGGTTGGTGCTTTTCTCCTATTTTTCATTTTTTTTTTATGGATGAATACATATCCATCATTCCTATATAGAGTAACTATGTATTTCGTGTATCACCATTCTCTTTGCTTGAAATCTTATTTGAATGGTCCTGCTTCTGTACGAAGTTCTTTCTTATATGATGAATGATTTCCTCGCTTATGTTATGTTTCATTGCACTCTAGCGTTATGTGTACGAAAACACACAACTTTTTTTT